GAATTGTTTCCAAAATTGAGAAAAATCTAAAAATAGAGAAGCAGAAATAAGAACCTTTGATCCTGAGTCCCATTGCACCATACTTGTATACAGAGTGGGACCATAACCTACCTAAATGTGTTTTCAGATGAATTCCATTTGAGGAGAACGCAGATCTCCTTAACCTTCAGGATGTTACCTTCACAGGCATTCAAGGCATGGCGATTGTTATGGCTTACACTTGAGCTTTATCCTGTTCACACTAAGTAACTTATTGTTTTGCTTTGGAAATAGCCGAGGAATCTGCATGCACAAGATAAAAACGCATGAAATGTGTAGAGTTGAAGGGATTACCATCAGCCTCAACAGGCCACACGACCTTTAATCCCTCCTCAGCATTCTCATGCTGCTGGTATTTAGAACTCTTCTGTAGCGCTGGACTGGTAAGGTGGTCTACATGAGAGGATTTCAAGTGTCCTCTCTTATAGCTTGTAGGCCTGAGGACACATCTGCACGGGACCCGTGAAATACTTGCCTTGGATAAATAATAACCTGACAGGTATCTTTAGAGCTCTAACACAATGGATGGTCTCCCCGGTGGCTTAATACAGCCATAGTTCCCGCTGTGCGTACCTTTTCCTGAAAGTCTGTATTAACCGCACTATATCATAATTCTCAACCACGTTTATCTACTTGGTTTTGCTGTAGTCGGGTGTTCACTGTCATGGCAGATTACACCTACAATTTATCTGATTCTGCGGATCGTGAAAGCAATACTTTTACATGATTAGAAGTTAGTTCTGATTTTTTGAGAGCGGATGTGTGGCCACTTGCACAACTTTTTAGGCCATCAAAAAATCCAGGGGATTTGGTTTTTCTGGACAAATGGTTTGTGTTTTGTAGTTCTGTCTTATAATCACAGAACCGAACATCGTCCTTTGGAGAAGCCAAGTTTGAAAGTTGTTTATTGGGACAGCTTTCTGTGCTTAGGATTTATATGTAAATACAGTTAAGTGATAAGGGGCTAATTATTTTAGATTCCTTTTAACCGGGGGGGGTCAAAGCAGACATTTATCTAACCGCAGACCACTGTACACTTCAGTTAGCCCCTATCATTGATTCCTTTACTACGCTAGCTTTTAATTGTCTAACAAAATAATATCATTTTCATAATTGTTTCCTCATTTCACAGGTTTGGTACGGCAGCCATCACGATCTAGGTCTTATCGGTGTCTAAATTGCGTTGCATGCGACGATCAATTCGCCATAGTTAGTTCCGTATTGCGTCATTTCCTCTGTTTTCAAGCCTTTTTACTTTCTTTCTTCTCTCTCCATTCAGCCCGTGTTCATGTTCTTCATCTAAATTTTCCTTTTCTTCCATTCAATTTCAGCATGCAGTTTGGCGTTGATTTCGCTAAAGCATGTCCCCTAGCATTTTTCGGAATTGCATTTCTCTAGTATTTCAATACTTTTCTTATATTATGATGTTTAAGTTATAGTTGCCTTCTTTCCGGTTTTAATAGTATAGTTTCTAACTGTTTCCCTTACATCAGTCATTATGCAAGAAGAAAGAAACTTTATTCGGTGGTGGGCTGGAGTTGATGGGGACAGAGGTCCCAAGCACCAAGCTAGCTGAAAGGAGTGTTTACCCGTGCTTAAAGAGGACTTTGAACCGTGTGACATTTAGTGATTACATTTTGGGCACAGAGAGGATTTACAAGGGTAAAGCCTGAGGGCAATCACCAGTCAATGACTACTAACACAGTATGCAAGCTTTTGTACGCATCTTGTGAAATGTAACCCTTCACTGTTATTGCGGAAGTATTGTATCTTGGGAAGCATTTTGATGTGAGTGTTTTTGTCCGAGGGAGATGGATTTGTCGTGTTAAACGGGTCCCCTGCTCGATCCCTGCAATGGTGTTTTTCCGCTTGTCAGTGTTTACTGTTGCTTTTTGTCGTCTCTTTAAGGGCAATGAACCACTAAGTAGCTCATTTTGAAGGATGCCGAATGTTGGCAAGTTAAAGCTTAGGACCATCAAATAGATAGTATTTGGGGCATGTTGCAATCACTCATTCTCTCGAAGACAGAACTGCTCGAAGTTGAAGTAGAATAGTTGATCGTAACATTTATTAAGTACGCCTTTTAACCCAACACACAAAATAAGAATGTGCTTTCTCTCAGATGGCTCTTGATAATCCCATATAATTTGTTCTAAAACTGTACAATTTTCTTGAGCAATCCCCCCCATCTATCCCATCCTCAATTCATGCGGGCACATCAAGCAAGTTGCCTCAGTAAATAAGACTATATACACCGAAGGCTGGTTGTACTTAAAGACTATACTACCGATACTACATATATATAAGAATACATATATTTACATGTTCTATATACAGTTATTGGCTTGCATTGGTTTTTCGTTCTGGTAATACTTTCTAACATACTAGGCTACGTCTGGGCAGAAGTCTAGGGGCAATATTAGAGAATATCAAAAACCAATTACAATTTTTATTGCCCGTTATTTTTTGCCGCTCTGCGGCCAGTACTTGAAGGTTGCGGCGGATTTGGCCATGGCTCCTTGATTGCAAACCCTGCCTGATAGAATATAAACAATTCATCAAATTGGAAATCTCCTACTATCCGACCGTCCTTGCTTTGTGTAATGCAAGGTGTATTCCCCATCACCACTTCAGGGAGTCGACTTCATATCACAATTTTTGCCTCCCATGTCTAGTTCTTAATATAATTCTAAATGTACATGCAAATATAGGGCCAAATGACCTCCTAGCTTTACTATTTGCCTGATTACATGGAAACTGCCTGCGTTGCACAAAGCTTCCCTTTTAGAGATATGGTGAAACCCTGGCCTGCAGTGTTTCGCCACGCAGTTTTTAGCACTAATGATAGAAGTCGGGTGGTTCCTTGCTCATGTAATGCAAGAGTACTATAAATTCTATATCGAATTTAATAAACCCTATTTCTATTTTATTGTCATACATTTTATTTAAAATACACATATTATCATCCTGAAATGCAATGTATCGGCTGTAGAGCTCTGAATGTGTGATAATATATGCACAGGATACACGGAATTGCATCAAACTGTTAGGCATTTTCCTGCATTTGTGTGGGAACTAAGATAGCAAGTGACCCAATCCCAGGGGGCATTGCCCTTCCTTATTAATTATAGAGAACAATTATGTAGATGAGATAGGGCCAGGATAAATTGATGGGAGAAAGTGAAGAGCTGCTGCCCTTGGGGAGAAATGGGAAAATAGGAGATTTTGTTCGGAAACAGCAAGAATGATCTTTCAGTACTAGGCGGAAAAAGCAACACTACAGACTAAACCACGCTCCTTGTCTGCTAAGGGAAGCTAAAGGAAGTTACATCTGCTGGCGCCGGTAAGTGGGTCCAGTCTTTTTTTTGTATTTCCAATTCCTTAGCCGGAGAAATGTATGGCAAATATGGCGGCGAGCCAACACAGTGCCATCAGAACACATGCATAAGAACGCAAAGTTTATAAGAGAAATCTTTATCCAACATATAAATACATTAAATTGACAATACACATTATAAAAGTCGATGTAAGTACCCCCAAAACAAAAATGGGCCCAAAACATTTGCCATATCGTATGTTATCGTTGCACTGTTACGTTTTGTACCTCTATGGCGTTATGGGCCTTTTTCCTTGACAAGGTACCACCTTTGAGTACAATCCATTCAGTGGTTTTTCTACTATGCTCAACCTTTCCAAAAGGAAAACTAAACGACTTCCAGAAAATACTGCTATGTTGAAGTGTTTCAATCTAATTCTCTATTGTTTAACATGTAGATGTCTATAAAATCTGTGACTGTTTGATTGGAACGTATAAAACTATTTATTGTCTTTGAAATCCATGTTTCTGCTGGACTTTGCCAACCCAAGGTGTTTTTACATAAAGCAAGGTCTTGGTCCCGCTTGCCAGGCAGCACGAGCCTTGACAAATATACTGTTATAGACCGCTTAGCTGGCCACCGTATTGGTGCCTAGAAGTATTCCCTTTAGGAGGTGCCTCATGGCGGGGTCGCCAAATCCGGCCCGCGCCATTTTTTGGGCCGAAGAGTTGCCCATAATACGTTTATTATACGGTTACATGCTACTTTACAGTATATCTATATATGTTCATTTTAATTAATTTCTTATTTTATAGTTATTTATAATTGTACATTTTTATCTTGGATTTATCCTTAATTGTATTAGTCCGTTTGAATCTGTGCTGTGCTGTTTTTCAATCTTACCCTGTTGCTGTTAAACCACTGAATTTCCCCACGGGGATTAATAAAGCTCCATCTTACCGCTTTACAGAAGCATGTTGCCAAATAAACTACATGTCCCACAATGCATCTCATTTTGTGACATGCACACTGAAGAGACTTGCAAATATTTACCCCAGACTTCTGCTTTCAGACGTAGTTAATTCTGAAGTTATTACCCTATCCAATAATAATCCAATTCAGAGGCAATCATGTAATATAATGCATTATTTTATATATATTTATATAGTCTTAAAGGTGGGGTAGGTAAGTTTGAGAAACCGGCTCGAGAATGCTCTTAACATCCCGATAGCAATGAATATCTTAAGTGCTTTGACAAAAATCCATAAAAAAATGTCATCTGTGGAAGCCGTAGTACTTTAAAAAGCACGTCCAATCATTTTAGCCGGCCCGGCTAAAGTAACTGGATGGCCTACCTGCCTGTCAGCCGTCCATCTGTGCACAAACTTATCTTGTGCCCTCATTGGTCATGTGCGCGTTCGTGTGTGTTGGAGGAGGGGCTCTGTAAGGAAGTGGCAGATTTGTGACGGCTGTGTATTTTCAAATTCTAGCGCACTCGAGCTGGTTTCTCCAAAATTACCTACCCCACCTTTAAAGTTACAACAGGCCCTTTGAGTGCAACTATAATGCTGATGTGGCCCACGTTGAAATTGAGTTTGGCACCCCTGTCCTTGACAATGTCTGTGGAAATACTAGTTGTAAAACACCACGGAGTATAATCTGTTAAGAAAACATTGAGCTGATATCTTTGAAGGAATTCACTCAAAGGTCACTGTGTGATAGAAGAATGTACGGCCATGCTAGCTGCTCTGTGAGGCTGTGCTGTGGCAGAGCAGAGCTTTGGGCTAAATGCTGACATCAGCATACTAACATGCTCACAATGACAATGCTGACATGCTGACGTTCAGTAGGAGTCACGTTGACATCTGATAATAAGCGCTAATCACCAAGTGAAGCTGAGGCAGATGGGATTTCATTGGTTTTAAAAGTATTTGGTTATAAACCTAAGTATTCAATTAAATTGAGATGGGCATTGAGTACCAAATATCATTGATATTTGATAATAATAATAATAAGCAAAGGTATTTAACCACTATTAAGATGGACACCTGTTTATTGTATGCATCTTATCTTTGGTAACCTTTTGCCTCAGAAAGATCCTTGACCTTGACAACAGTGAACTTGATGACACAACAAAAGGGTCAAAGCAGTTCAGAAAACTGGCTGAACTTGAATCAAGGGTCCTTAATACAGCGTACTACTTGGCAGGGCTCTACACTCACATCACATGTATTTAAAAGTTGGTAACGTTTTTGAGATATAACTTGCAGATTGCAGGGTCGCTGAGTTAACTAAGGGATAAGACAAGAATGTTGAAATACAGGAAGGATGCATGTGGGGCAACAAACAAAGAGCAGGAATGCATGGTGGTGTTTCATAAATGCTGCACTCTTTAAACAGCATAGAGGCTTTAGGCAATGGTTGGAAAGCATTCTGACCAATTCAAATCCCTAAGTGAATCCATTCGGGTTTGAGAACACTTAAGTTATTAATGACGACAACTCAAACGTTTGGAGGTTAGGTTATTGCTTCATACATGATCTTAGAGTGCACACAAACCCAAATGCAGCCAAGTTTCATTTTGGCTTGCCATAAAGTGAATCATGGGATTAACAGTGATCAGCGACAGCCATAGTAAGTGAAGTGATGTCTTCGAGCTCTCTGGTCTGGCTCATATCACAGTACGACACTATGTTTTTCTCTGTAACTCCTCAGGAGTAAAGTGCCCCTCCCAACCGCTTCCTCTGATTGTAACCAGAAAAGACTCACAGGAACATTTGTGTTCAGTTTTCAACGATTGTATAACTTTGTTCATTGCATTATGGTCTATTAGCCGCTTTCACACCAAGTACTTTGCCGTACTTAGTGCCGGCACTTAGTGCCCCAGCACTTAGTTCCCCCATGGAACTAAGTACAGATCGCGTTCACACCAGAATAAGTTCCCTGAGGGAAGATTACGCAAATGAGCCGCTGACGTCACTTCGTCTTCTTCTGCTTTGGGTTTACTGGCAGGCCGCAAACAACTTCACGGCGTACTGCCACCCGAAGTCCCCGGCTGGAAGTCTCCGGAGTTGGGGACTGGCTGGGTTTGGAATTCGCCCAGCCAATAGATTTGGGGACTGACTGGGTTTGGAATTCGGCCAGCCAATAGAAATTGGTACTTTTTTCTCCCCAGGATAGTACCGCCTCTCAAGCAGGCATTACAAATGGGGGTAAAAGTTCCCGGCACTAAGTACTCTTTTTGGTGTGAACGCAAAATAAGGGGTACTAACAGAACCAAACGGGAAAAGTACTCCGGTGTGAATGCGCCTATTGATACTTAGGAGCGTAATGGTAACTTCGGCTGCAATTCGTTTTTATTATTAATGAATCTTCTAGTTATAGTCTTGATGTATAGTTTTGTCAGTTCCAAACCTCAGAACCTTCAGTTTAATGATGTATAACTGTAAAAACAGGAACTCTCTTTATTAAAAGAGGCTGACAACTGTGTTTTCTGACATTTGTGTCACGTGGAGCTTGTGATATTTTACAATGTCAAGTGCTTTGTGGGTTTCATGATCGCTGGTGTTTTTAAGTTGGACTTTATTAATTAATAAAGTCCAACTTAAAAACACCAGCCAGATATTTGTTGATTTAGATTGATAAGGTTGTGGCCTAGTTCTGCCATGTGTATTGCCCTCAGAGATGGATTAACACTGTGGGGGCTATCAAATCCTCCCCTTCCCCCCAGTCTTTGTGAGTTTAAAATTGTATTTTATACATGTCAAATAAATGTGTATTTCCTGCTGGGTTTGAGTACCCATCAGATCAGCTGGAATACTCCCCTGGTGTGCTGCAGTGTGTTGGTTGGTGTGTAATTAAAAACACACATGCACCCTGTAAGCATCATATTAACCTAAAAACCAGAAAGGTGGAAACACTAATCCACTAAATAATTTCAGCGCTAAAAGTAAAACGAATATTGATCATGTTGCAATTTATAAAAATATATATTCCTCCATCAATATCTTTGCACATCCTGCACTAAACTGTAATATTTTACTTAAGCGTCTGTGTTTTTAAAGTATCTTTTTCATAGTTGTATTGTCAAATTTTACATAATGACTTTTAAAGTACTATGCCTGTATTTTTATTTCCTCTTAAAAGGAATTCACAGGCATAGTTTATTGTATGCGCCACCAAACACCATGGGGATTTCTTGTAAGTGAGAACAGTGAACTACTTGGCAATAAACTTTATTTTGATTCTGAAAGTCAACTTGGAGCTTTATGGGGCCTGTGTGGCAGCCAACCCCTCATGATGTTAATAAATCGGCCTTTTTTAAAACTTCTGCACACTTGTACCTACACTGCACATCTTCTGTCTGCAGCAACAGCACATACATATGTTATGTTCATATAGATCTGAAGCTTTATAGTGATGCTCTATGTTTAAAAAGGGTGCTCACCTGCCACCGTCCATAGGTGAGCATGAAGAGACAGAAGGGTATGGCTGTCCCCGTCATAGCGTGCGTGGACGGCATGCTGTACTCGGAGTTGTAGAAGACCTCCACCTTGACCACAGGAGGGGACGCGGGCCGGGACCAGCGGACCATGTCTTTGGTGGACTGTCCCACGAACAGGTTCCAGGCCCAGACCACGATGAGTCTCCGGCTGACCAGGGCGTCGATGTTCCAGAAGAGGAAGGGGAAGAAGACGATGAAGAACATCTCGTTGCCCAGCTCCGTCCCAAACGTGAACAGGTAAAACAGAAACTTGTTGTGGATGAGGAACTCCTGACCCACGTCTCCGGTCAGGGAGTTTTTCCGCAGGGGTTTCGCTCTGGTTGTGTCCGGGTCGACGGACGGAGCCTCAGGCCCGGCTGTAATGTCACCCTGCATCCCCTTCGCATCCCCGGCTGCTCCATTCACAACACTACTGTCCGGTCCCCTCTTCCTCAGCCCGGGGCTTTCAGGCTCCGACTCCCCGCTGTCCGGCTCGCTCGGTTTAACCGGAAATGTCCCTTTAACGCCGCACACTTTTTGAAACCTCGCTACATGGCGGGGGTCTTGGAGATAATTACACATCTGTACAAACGTCTTTAAAAGGTCGGTCGCCATGACTACAATAACTGTTGTTTTTTTAACGGGTTGTTTTTAAAACTGCTTCGTCGTAAAAATGGAGTTCATGTTCGTAGACCGAGATTAAAGGGAAGAGGAGCTCGGCGGCCGTGGCATTCCTCTTAACGAAATAAAACAACAGTGTGGGAGCTAACAGCACGGAGCAGCTACGCGGCACTACTGCCTGTTATCCGCATTCAAAACAAAGACCTTGTACAGCAGAGGAGGCGGCAGCATCCAAAGTCCGTTACAGTTAACCATTACTTTCCGGTAAATCCCATTCCATCCAACTAACTGCGTCAGTCAGGCCGTTATTCCTGTTTCACTACTCTTCTTCTTGTTGTGCTTCTTCTCCTAGTACTTCAACTATGTGTGTCTTCTTCGTTTGACTTTATTTTTAGTCGGTCTCTATCAAAAATATTGGAGTTACCACCCCTGCTGGAGTTGCGATAAATTACACATAAATAAAAAAAGATTGCCTCAAAAGTACTTGTGCTGGATGACCAGTGGTAGACAGTGGGGGGAGAGGTACTCAGATCAAATTCAAAGGAGTTTTATAGGCATGACCATGAAAAACATAGCATTGCCAAAGCATGTAGTACAAGGTGTTAACAAAATAAAAGAACACTAAGCAACATACATTAGCTGTGTCCCAATTCAGCGGCCGCATCCTCCTGAGGATGCATTCGGAGACCGCATACGTCACTTCCGCCAAACGAAGGCCGTCCCAATTAAAAAAAAAGACAAGACTCCTCCGAATGCGGCCCGCAAATGCAGCCTTCTTTACCCAGTGTAACGAACGATACATGTGGCAAACAGCAAAAACCTTAACTCACTCACTGTTCCTGAGGTTGTGGCAGGTAAACACATATTCTGCTGCTATAGTGAGCTCTCCTAACAGGATTGTGGTCAAATTCAGAATGTTTGTTATTACATTTGGGGAAATATTTTTGTTCGGATTGGTTTGAGTTGTGTTCATTCTGTCAGAAAGTGCAGCTCTGTTTCTACTTTGTCTGATCTTGTAAAAGTAGAACAACCAGAGTGAAGGCATACTCTGTTACAAGTAAAAGTCCAGCAATCAAAATGTTACTCAAGTAAAAGTACTAAAGTACAAGCATCAAAATGTACTTAAAGTACCAAAAGTAAAATTACTCATTATTCAAATTTGCCCATTTTAGAATAATATATTTAATATGTTTGTATTATAATTATTGATGCATTATAGTGTTTATCGAAGCTGGCAAAGGAGCAGCTAGTTTTAATGACTTTGTATACTGCAGGGCAGCTTTTGAATTGTACTGCAGGTGTAACTAAAGTCTTATTTAAGTGTTGATTATATTTCACATCATTATATTAATCCAAATCTGCAAAGTAACTAGGTAGGCCTACTAAATAAATGTAGTTGACTAAAAGTACACGATTTAGCTCTGAATTTAAGTGTGTAGAAGTACAAAGTAGCAACAAAGTAGAAGTCTCTCTAAATGGTATTAAAGTACATTCTTGAGTAAATGTACGTTACTTTTACACCACTGGTGGTAAAATAAGTATTCAGAATATTTACTTAAAATACTAGTAATAAACTGAAAATATTATATTGCAAGTAAAAGTCCTTAATTTTAACTTGAGTTAAATGATGAATGTATAATCACTAAAATGTAAAATCAAAGAGAATAAATATCAATACATTCCAAATAATTTACCATTTTAAACAAAAACATAATTTTCTTAATTTCTACAACATTGTAATAGAAATCTCAGGTTCGTGTATGTATGATCAACGTTATATGTCAACAAAGGTACTTTAAATTCAGTCTAATTCATGTGTAGGCTACGGGTCTGAAAATCCAGAGACCACAATAACACAAGAAAGCAGCGACATTCCCTTTCAAAATAAAAGCATCGAATTTAATGTTCTTTATTTTTATTTTATATATGCTGATGTGAATTTTACCCATGATGTGTACAAGATGTATATTAAAGATGATTGTTATTTAGTGGGTAAGGATCTATTTATCTTATCTGTTGCATGTTTTGGACTAAGCTCATGTCACGTACGCCTCAAGTAAATTCCAACGTGGCTGGATTTCAAATATAAATATAACAGTTTAGCGATATTAGATCAAATGTACCACATGTTACACATCTCGTAATCTTCAATTTGTGTTGAGTAAAACTGAAACAATGTCACGTTCAGAAAAAGGTTTTTATTTTTAAAACTTCAGCCCGGAAGTTCCTATTAAAAAATCTGGTAGTTTAACTGTGGTGGTGCACGCTCCGGCCAGGCAGTGATCTGAGAGGGTATTTAACAACAGCACGACCACCGAGCAGCTCTGAGTGTGTCCGGAAAACTCACAATGCATGGGGGCAAGAGAGGACTGGTGGCCCCGCAGAACACTTTTCTGGAAAATATTGTCCGGCGCTCCAGCGGTGAGTTTTACTTAAAGAAAAAACAATAATTAATTGATGTTAATCCGGCATGTCAGTGAAGGTAGCGCACAAGGCTGCACTGGATGTAAAACCTCTCATGTTGTTTCTATGTTATTTAACGAGAAGCAGCTCCACTTTGTTGGTGATTTCACATGTTTTTCTTTATTAAACTTTACATTAAATATATGTACTGATGAATTGCTTAACAAACTCAAATAGTGTAGTGTAATTCACATAATAGAGTATTCTTGTCACCCTAAATACATGTATTGTTTCACTTGTTTATACATAGAAACAGGTTTAATGATCTGTCCAAGTACATTTAATTTTTGTTCTGCTTAAGATTTAATGCTCTTTTTAATATGTCCTTTATTTCTGATGAGCTATTGTAGATGCAGAACTATAGGAAAACATGTTTTAGTCGAAACAAAAATGTGGTGTGGGCACTTTTATGTATGTGCATTATACAATAAATAAATCACAATAACAATTCAGCAGAAGATGTTGCAGAGGTGCTGGTCAGTAAGACCATTTTTGTTATATTTTACATGAAACCCTAAAGTGATCATCATTTAATTCATTAATATTTGTTATTATGTATTATACAGAAAGGTAATACTGTTATTAAAAATGCATTCATTTATATAAAAGTGAGGCTAAGTGTGAGATGGATGGTTTTCATTACAGAAGAAGTGCACAGTGTAAGACAAACTGTAGTATAAACTGTGTAAAGGTGGAAAATGAACCATGCATTAATAATTTATACAAATTCAGTCTGGGACAATAACCTAAAGTTTAGAAATTATTGTCTCTCTCCTGCAAACGGTCGCAGAGTGGACTCATTGATTACAGCATAAACTAATCCGACACACAAACGTTAAGTTCAAGATAAACAAGCCGAAGCTTCGAGTGTGACAGCTTTAATGCGGACTGTAAATAGCAGAAAACGTCCTCAGTCTTTTCTCTCGAGACAGCAGCTCTGTCCAAACGGCTGTAAAGCTGGATAAGTTTGCAGCTCCTCATCAATATTTAATAACATTAGGACTGGAACATAAACATTTTATCAACAATTATTTCTACCCAGTGACTCGTCTGAATACCAATGTTTGCTGATTCTTTCTATTTTAATGATCGTGTGTCTATTATGCATTATATGGTTATTAAAATGATGTGGAAGAGTTTGCTTAGGGTGATTTGAATAATTGCAATCATTGGAAGTACAGATTTGCAGTTCCGTTCCTCACTGCTGTATTGTTGCTGTATTTTGGTGCAGAAACCAGTTTCCTGTTGGGAAATGCACAGGTCTTGGAGTGGCCGGTCGTTTACAGCAACGATGGATTCTGCAAGCTATCTGGATACCACCGAGCTGAAGTCATGCACAGGAGCAGCTCGTGCAAGTAAGATATGAGTCTCTGTCTAACATACATGAGTGAATATAACAAAGATTGGAGGGTGCAAATCTTTTTACTTTTGAAATTTGGATCACAGCTCCAGCTCCTCCTGATGAGCAAGGATTTATCATTTGTAGTTATCTGACAGGGACTGTACTCATTGATCAACAGAAGAACGAAGAACAACTGTAAATGAGCCAAATTTAGACCCAAAGGCTTATTTTCATCTGGTGTCCCTTGTTAGATGTTAAAAAGTAAAAAGGCACCCTGAAATCTCTGATCTTTATATGCATACGAAATATATCTTTAAAAGCCCAACTAATTATGGAAGTGGTAAAATTGGACTGAGGACCAGGAATAAAAATACAACACTCTGTTGTCATCACAAGGAAATGTGAACACTGATTTGCAACATTATATTGCAACTGATATTGAAAGTCGCTTTGGATAAAAGTGTCAGCTAAACGTAATGTAATGTAATAATGCAACAGCAGAAAAAGTGTTCAATCCACTTCAGTATCTTCTGTCTTTGACCTTCTGCCTTCTCTTCTTTCTTTTAACATGCTCCATTTTGCTTCTTGGTTTTCTCTCTCCCTTATTTTGCAGTTTCATGTATGGTGACCTGACTGATAAGAACACAATAGACAAAATCAGACAGACCTTTGATAACTACGAGTCCCAGTTCTATGAGGTGCTGCTCTATACAAAGAATAGTGAGTACATTTATTGAATTCTATGTGTTTTACCAAATCGGTTATTTGTATAATAAAAATGTGTTTATGTAGAATTTTTGATTTCACACTGCTTAAATGTAATCTGTTTTTCATAGGACTGCCAATATGGCTCTACATGCAGGTAGCTCCAATCAGAAATGAGAACGACAAGGTGGTGCTCTTCCTCTGCACCTTCAGAGACATTACACTTTTTAAACAGCCGATAGAAGAAGAGTCAACTAAAGGTGAGACGTCTTTATGAGCCAAATGGTTTAAACTTGCTATCATTGTTTCAGCGTTGTCACTGTTGGAGTTACATTTTGGTTTCTTATTCCACGCACTAAAGGCTGAGAACGCACATTTACTTCACATTCATATCAAATTATTGTCAAATGTCTCATAATGGTCCAGGCAGTGTAAGCAAAGCTAAATGTATCCTCACACACCATGGAGGGTGCAGCGCAGCCGAAAGTCTCGAGCACACATGAGTGACTTAACAGACGTTTGTTTCCTGGTATGTAACATACAACTGTCCAGGTGTTGTGTGTGCGGGTCAGTGAACACTGGTCTCTGAGGGTGCCATGTCCCAGGGGATCATGTGTGCCACTAAGACTTTCAAATACGTCAAGCAGAAACAAAGGACACTTGGGCCACCATTACCATCCACAGAGATGATACATATTGATCATAAATGGAGGGGATAAAAGAAAAATCATTGCCTTTTCACACAAAAATTGCAAGCTGGCAACATTTAATAGGCTTTAAAGGGAAGGTTCAATCATAATGTCCTCTTCTTTGCCATGCTGAATCATGTAATGTTGTAAATTTAAAGATGAAC